GGGTAGCAGTTATGATGAAGTGGGGAGTCTCCATAACGACTGTGGTCTCGGAAGGTGAGGGTGCCTCAGTGAGATTGGTCTTCTCAGATTTACTAGCTCGTAGATTATCTCGCCCGGTAGTATCTGAATTCTGCAAGACGAATGATGAATCCGAGGCTGTTGTGAGACTTAGCTCGACCGCAGAGCCTGATGCACCATCGTCATCGGGATGCTGTACAGGGGGAATTTCCCCAACAATAACCAGCTTCTGGATGACAGGGTTGTAGTAGAACCCCTTAGAATTTTGCAAGTCGGAGCCGAATACGAATTGGAATGGTTCGGGTAGACGAGGGGAGACCAGGAAGGTGGAGTTGATCTCGATGTCGGTGCTATCCGCGAACCGCCATGTAAGTGTAACAGTTGCATGATACATAATGCATTCGCCATTCATAATGTAGGCTGTGTAGGGCACGTCTAGATACTTCATAGGTAGACCAAGTTCGGCGACAAGCTTATGAGAGATCATGCTCTCATAACTGCCTGTGTCGATCAACGCAACATACTTCTCACTTGACGTAGCATTGTGATCTGGTAGTGTGACCAGGCAATGTGGGGTCTTGTGCAGGCTGAACTGTGCCATAGTAGTAGTTGTAGGTTGCGGAGTGGGCACTGTAGTCAAAGTATTAGTAGCATACGATGAATTGCCCGTGCCTGTTGTAGCTGATTGTGTCGTTGCATGAGAGTACTTGCATTTGTCGCCGAAGATGCAGGTTCCAGCTTTGAACTTCCTGCAGGGCTCCCGAACCGTTGTAGTAGTGGCGGGTTCAGCTGGGGGCATTGACGTAGTGGTAGTAATTGCAGTAGTAGTAGGTAGGGTTGCATGTAGAAATTTACATCGAGTGCCATAGGTACATCGACCTTGAAGGTTGAGACGACATATGTTAGTTGGCGAGTGCTGTGTAGGTGCACTCTGACTCCCTTGTTTGTAACCACTAGATTCTTCATAAGAGATACACCAATCCACCATGACATTGAGGGGGGTAGTTGCTTGAGGGTGTATTTGTAGGAGTGGTTGTCGCAGCCAAACTGGAAGACCATCTAGGAAGGCTCGACGTAAAGCCGTAAGGGGTATCTCATGGTTGAGATAGCGTGCATGTTGTTGCAAATTTACAATGATGCTGTGTAGGGCTTCGACATTCTTAAAAGTAGTGTGGTTGATATCTCGGAGCTGAGCATAGATCTTATCCACGTTGTTAGTGATAGACCAACGGTTGTTAAACCAATGCTCTGCGGACTGGAGTCGATCGAGTATGGTAGCATCGGAGGCGATGTTCTTGGCTAGGTAGTTATCAAGCTCTCGGGCTTGAATTTGCTGCATACATACCGTAGTCAAATATCTCCAAGTATCCATCTCGCTGAGCGCTGCCAGTCGAGCAGACTCGGCTACTCTATAGAGGAAGGCTGTGGCTGGACGCTTGTCCGAGGTGCCTTGCCATACCTTGCCGTCTGGTGGTTGGAGGCGTAGAACTCCTGCTAGAGACTTAGCGTCCTCAGTTGTGCTTGTTGTAGTCGCAGATGCTAGAATGGATGTTGAGGTCGATTCAGACGAGTAGACCGAAGAAGACCGGTGACGATTAGCCTTGGCTTGCTTGAGGAGGCGTAGGCAATCTACCTTATGTTGCAATGTAGCGTCCTCGGGAAGTGCTTCCTCGATGTCCTTAACGCTGACGAACTCTAAATCAGATACATCCTTGAGCTTAAGGGTCGTAAGGAGTGTACTGTAGGGTCCAAGGCCAACGGGTTCTCCACCAGCTGTTGGGGTTCCAACCATACTAGCAACGCGACGAGGTGAGGATATATGTGAGCTGCACTTAGATCTACTTTTACGCTATTGTGCTATGTATCGATCAGGCTATGGGCGTTAGCGGAATATACAAAGAGCGGAGCGGAGAGTGAAGACTCCTTACAAGAAAGGATACCGAAGACGGTGATATTGCCGCCATGCACCACAAAGGACAAATTGATTAGTTACGCCAAGGAATGCATAGCTGGTTTATATCAGTGTGCCGGACAACGAGTCAAAGAGGCATATTTAGAAGTTTGCCTTCGTGAACTTGATTGGCAATTTGGGCAAAGTGCACGGGAGCATTTTGAGGTTTCCTGGAGAAAGGAGGAGACACTGGGTGCCTTTCATCACGAATGTCCTCTGGCTCTAGCTCGAGAGGAGGAGAAGCGACAGTCCGTTGCAGCAAGACCCTGGTACAACAACGCAGCAGAATCAATCTTTTCGAAATTTCATGGTTCTTTCGTCGAGCGATCTCGGACGATAGCGTTAGGGGGTCAGAAAGGGCTCATCAGGGAGGTAGGGAGTTATCTGTCTGTCTGTGGCGTGACTAATCGTAACGGTCTAGTGACAAGTGCATCCATGGGCCATATGGAGACAGCTCACGCGGCGATGGAGGCTAAAGCGTTAATTCGCCTTCAACAGCTGACGGAAGAGGGAGCGAACGAGAAAAGTAGAATTTGTGAGGAAGTGAACGTTGGAGACAATTTACCGCAAGGCTATAGAGTCTTCTGCATAACCAGCTCGCAGAGGGAACCCCTAGCTAGAGGAGAAGCCATGAAAAGAGTGGAGCTAGCTTTGGGGAGGTGGGACGGGCATGGGGCCGGATCGGTGGTCGCCTTTAACAAGAGAATACTTCAAGTACATCTGGTGGTAGTGCCTCCAACCGTGTGTGGCGTGCAGTAGAGAGCCCTCTGCAGTTGCGCAGGGTTCGCGAAATTCTCGCAGTGCCATCACAGCGTCATGGCTGGACGTTTAGTTGCGCACAGGGATGGGGAGAATAGTATTCCAACAACTGTGAGGGTAGTCAATATGCCGCAAGTGAACTGGGCAGGAAGACCACATAAAAGCCGAGGGCCTTTATCGAAGCACCCGAGCGACATTAGAATGGAAGGATCGCCTGTGGTTAGCAGGAGAGCGAAATACATGGAAGGAGCAAACATAGGCGGAGGTATGTAACGATGAATCACAAACAGTACCCTAGCAACGAAGATGGCATGCGGTTAGGTTCATCATGCTCAGCAGGCGGAGAGTATGCTCAACAAAATGAAATTCTGCCAGATTGGCAACTATTAGAATACTCAGCAGCAGAAGAGGCAGTTCGGGGCAACAAGTTGCCTTTGTGGTCTCCTGGTAAGTTGACGAACATCAGCAGCGTTCCAGTGTCTCATCCCAGGAGAAGCCTTCATCCCACGAGTGGAAGATGACACACCGGAGGAAGGAAGGATACTGCAATCACACAATCCTGCAACGCTTGTCTCGCTTATTGGTGAGCCGGCGGATGAGGAGAATGTCACAGAAGCCAATGGATTTAATACTTAGATCCACACTCCGCTGTAGAAGAGGATGTTAGCATGATCGTTAGTTCAGATTTAGCACTGAGTAAGGAGCGGGCTAGGCAGAGTCGGTAAATACAGCTATCTTCTTTTTCCTCTCAGGCAAGCCTTCAAGACGCCCGCCGCTTCAAGCGAACCCTTCTATAACCGACAGTTCTGAGCGTCGTACGAAGAAACTCCGAGCACTTGCCTCATCGATCAGAGCGACAGACGCAGGTAGTATTGAGCCTAACGACCGAATGAATGATATATTATCGATCATTGCGTGTTGTAGTGCTGCAATTAGATAACGGCAGGAGAATGTCGAAGCGTATCAGAAGGACCCCTCCTCGGTTCAAAAATTTCGTTAGATTGTGAATCACAATCTGTGATTTCTGACGGTCAGCTATTTACCAGCAAGATAGAATTCGAGCTAGTAGCTTCATGCACCTTAAAAAATAACCCCAATAAGATTTTGTGTCGTGTTGGTCTCAATTCAGTGGACTCTGCAGTGATACGAGTGTTGTCGACGTAAGGTAATTACTCTTATCCGCGTAATGACTCTTATTCAAGTGATGTCTCTTATTCAAGTTTTTTAAAGGAAACCCTCACTGCAAGTGAGAATCCCAACTCGAAACCCGACGGAAAACCGGAAACCCGATGCCTCTTATCCGAGTAATGACTCTTATTGAAGTGAGGGCTCTTATTCAAGTTCTTTAAAAAAACCCTCACTGCAGGTGAAATCCCGACTGAAACCCGAGGGGAAGCCAGAAACCCGACGGGAAGCCAGAAACCCGACGGGAAGCCAGAAACCCGAGGGGAAGCCAGAAACCCGACGGGAAGCCAGAAACCCGAGGGGAAGCCAGAAACCCGACGGGAAGCCAGAAACCCGAGGGGAAGCCAGAAACCCGACGGGAAGCCAGAAACCCGAGGGGAAGCCAGAAACCCGACGGGAAGCCAGAAACCCGACGGCTCTTACCTAGGAGATGGGCCTTATCCAAGTGATGGTTCTGATCCTTGAGGATTGTCAAAATTCCTTGAGAGTTGTCAAATGGGCGAGCGCGAAAAAATGAGGGCGAGCGAGAAAAACGTCCTTGAGAGATCGCAAAGTTCCTTGAGTAAATGAATTTACCCCGGTCCAAGACATAACGATGGCGATGAGAGAAATAGACTAGGTACGCGTGGACACATGGACGAGACCATTGCACGCCGTCTGGGGGGGTCCTTGGCAGCTGCTCGCAATAAGTACCTGCACAGCATGACTGACAGAAGAGCACCCGAAAACGTTTTTGCCGCTTCCTCCACCAAGTCATTCCAGTATGGTAGAACCATCGGAGATGTGAGCGCCAACGACGGCGAGCGATGGCCCAAGGTACCCCCCAGCGAGACCTGAAGAAGCCACATGTGGGAAGAGTCATAGAATGGCGTAGATGATCCACTACGCATTTCAATGTGCAAGTTTGACAAGCGAGCATGACGGAATAGAAGGCAAGTAGTTGAGTTATCGTATAGCAGCTCCGCCGTGAATCTGTTGAGGAGACAGCCGAACCCCAGGGTTAGTCCATTGCCGACAACACCTGGGCCGATCTCTCATATTGTTTAATTGTACGCGTGCATGAGATAACGTCGTGACAGTAAGGGGGAAACAGCAGTATTCAGCTGTGACGAAGGATGACCTGAATGTGGTCATCACGGTGAACTCCCAGAGCTCCCTTCCACAGGTCGAGCGGGTTGTGGACAGTGAGGATTTTTTCATCGTGATCAAGGATGATAACCGAAGACACACGGTAGCTATCCAGGACTCGAGGTCTTCACCTTCGGAGATGCCAGCAAGGTGATAGCCTGTCGTCACCACTGCCACAGTGCCACTTGAGTCAAGTCCCGTGGCAGTGTGGAAAGTGATGCTATTCGAGCGTCTCGCGTTATTCTGATCATTTTCGCCGTAGGACCTCGAGACTTCTTCAGCACTCTAGTTTTTCTCTATTTATTTGCGATCCCTTCGCGCACAATACAATAGTTATGACCGGCGAATGTATCCCATCAAGCTCAAGGCAAGAGGGCTTTGTTCTCGTTGAGAATCGGCAATGCGAGCGATTTGCCTACTTTGTCGAATACGGAACGGTTCAGTAATGCTCAGTAACCTTCAGTGTTGTCAAATGACCGATAGAATCTCACCCGCTGGAAGGCCGACTGGACAACACAACTCCAATGTACACACACGAAACAGGGTGAGTCAAGACATATAGTTATTAAATAGCACATTTATATTCCCACGACCTGTATCACACACCACATTTCGGCACATAACTCTTCTAAGTCGATCGATATATGATTCATCAGGAGGGCTTCTATTCGATGTTTGCAGCCGTATCGAGAGCTCCAAAAGCAGCAGGGAAACCCTCAGGGGCCGGATACGAAATAGGTGCGATCCTCAATAACCAATGATCTTCTCTGGTCAACGAGCAGTGCTCGCTCTCCATCTCTCAGTCGCGGTCAATCGATCATCGCCGACCAAATCGACACCTCCATACAGCCTGAGTGCTATCGACGAGAAATGGCGTTTGTTTATGCATTCATGATCGATGTGTATCAATGACAGAATCATATTCGAGATAGTCTTCCTGTATTCACTCCAGCATTGAGTTATAATAGGTCACACCAGAGGAACATCATAACAAATACACGAGTTTCGTCTCAAATGGAGTAACCAGGAATCGAACCCGCGACCTACACGTTGGCAATCAACAGTACATCCGTAGTCTCCTTTCACGATCACTAACGCTATCATGCAATACCAATAACACTTTGAACAAGACCATCCACATTTAAACTAACTGCTTCAACTCTCGAGTTGCAGACTGATCGAACCGACGAGTCTCGTCTTTGCAATACCCTCTCACTATTGCCGCCCGCATCAATTCCGCTGCACCACATTCCAGTCTGATGCGTCAATGGACAACCGCTGACTTGGCAAGAGCCAGTACATCCCGTCGTGGCTCGAACAATATCAACATATTTTTCTCACATAACATCTTTGTACGTTTTTACCACGAATACAAACTATTAACACCGTGTTTCTCCAACACCAAAACTTGTCCAACTGAATTGAAACAGAAAAAAAGCACACGGATGAACGTTTGACGTTCACATGAGCTGTGAAAAAACAGAATTCCGATCTCTCCTTATACTTCTACTTCTCTTTCAACTTTGACTTCAGCGCTGGAGGATATTTCGCGTACCTGCATCCACGATCAAGTCGAATATAAGGGACGTGCCTTACATGTAAGTAGCAAGTAGAGTCACTGGCATCGCCATACAGACTTCTGTTCTCAACGGAGCATTCACCAAAACACTCCGAAGGATCGCTGTAATGATAATACCACCAATTATCGAGAAACCCTTGTGCACCTGATATTTGAGAAATTGGGGAAAAACAACTAAGTCAAATTCCAGTCACATTTCCATTTGCACAAAACCCCCAAACGATATTCTGTCTCTCTTGACCAAGACGAGCATAAGCTGCAATATGTGACTCCAGAATGGACTCTGGATGTAGGTACGAAAATCACGTATATATGTTCATATATGAATTCACATACACACACTGTATGAGAATATGTACAATTTTAGTGTGCACATGAACTTTACCAGTCACTGACGATTCAGCCATCATTCGACCTACAAAAGAACATCAATATAAATTCTTGCAATATAAACTGAACCCGAAACTCTATTATAATTTCCAATTTCCCCCGAGTAAAATCCCTAACCTAATTACACTGCCAGCATGTTTCGTGACTTGTCCAACGACAATACCGCCTATTGCTTGAGTAACTAATGACAACAGTAACTTCTCATCTACCTCTACAGGGCATATCACAAATTGGTAATAATGAAATCCCCGCGACGAAATTGGGACGTAGCATAGGAACTTCCCCGTGAACTACAGTCTCGACAACAATGATCAGAATTGCTGAATACATCGCTAGTTCTCCAGAAAGAAGGTAACTGAGAAAAAACGTCACGCGCCACGAAATTCAGTACACATGAGCATTCAAAAAAGCATTCCCAAACTCCTCCTCGATAACAGTGAAAAAATCTTGAAAAATTTTCTAATAAAAAATCCCCAAAAATTTCATACCATATTTTTCCATCACGAAAATCACATTCTTTTCACAACATTATTCCTGTAAAACAATATCATAATTGCATATTTTCGTTAAATGAAATTAAGCATTATATTCCCGTACTACCTATTGCGATGATACGACCTCAATGCGAGCTCCGTAATAGCAGCTCCCACTCCCGACAAGAAACTCGCTGATATAACCTTATTATAAATGAACAGTCCCGATGAATAAATGGAGTTGTATCAGCAGCCCGTGATTCCCTATACCATAATGAGAGTGTAAGGGCACATCTAGAGGTTCAATCTGCACGTCAACACATGAAAGCGTCTTAAGTGAGGCGCGCGCTAATTACACAGAGACGCGACAGATGAAACTAATGTTGCACGAGATGCCTCAAGGATTTCACCAACCTAATGTAAGGAATCCACACTTCTATGCTGGGCTCGACAGTATCCTCACAAAGTCGAGAATACAGCGTTTATCAACGGCAACTATCACGATCATGTGAATGCTACGCTATAAATATGCGTCTATTTTAACAACTACAGAGTTAACCACATCTTAATACGAGCTTTCGATATAACCTTGTAATTTCCATACATCTATCTACACTACGGGCGATCTGAAAACTCCATTTCGTGTAGTAGCACTACTGCTCAAACAATTATTCATATCAACTTGAAATCTTGTACATAAAACCACCGATAAGCTACTCAAATATGGGTGACAATATTACAGCTAACATTCCTAACGTGAGGTTCTTCTCATCGTATTCATCATTCAATCCAGTTTGCTCACCTACTGCAAACATACTGCTATAATCTCAAACTATTACTACCAATAGATATCAACACAGCAGACATGAATAACATTGATAAGGCCAAAACCTGCACAGAACTCTGCCCTCTGCCAAGTAAGAAGTACGTGAGAACCTGATGCGACCCATACCACAATTCCCATTGAATTTCGTGGCGCGTGAAAATTATCGCTCATGTTGTTCACCACAGCCAATTAAAGTATGAATATATACTGTGATTGTGAATACCACAATCAAATTAATAGTCAACAATTTCTATTCTGATCGAACCAATAGCCCAATTGCGCTTGATTATTATAATAGCAACATAAGCGAGCTATGACAGTACTAGCTTTAAAAACCAACCACACCAGATTTTATATTCTCTATTCCTAGGTTCAGCATGTTCTACCATAACACACTATCACTGAAAACACCAAGTCAATAATCTTCCCAAGTATTACCGCAGTCCATAACAACTTAGTTTGGTTAACCAAGTTGAACACTAGTGGGTCGAGATTACGATAGGCCGTTTGTATGCATACATTCTGTGCAGCATATGTAGCCGCAGGCAGGGCCGCAACAGCTAAGCTCGAGAGTGGCCGCCAGCTCTTGATACACTCAATGATCGATCCTGAAATAAATGGGAATTAGGGAGAGGGAAAAATTCTGGGGGATGTCACCTTCGAGCATCATGAACAGAACTGCAAACATAAGTTTGAATATTTCTACCAGCAAAACCACAGTAGTAGCGTTGAGCGAACTGAAAGAGTCAATGAGAATATATATGATACTAAAATATGGCGGTTAGTTTATTCTTGTATTCAATTGATTTTTCATCATATTTCTTATGAACTTTTCATGAACTTTTCAATTATGAACTTTTCAATTATTTCTTCATTTCTCTTCAACCATATGCTCATATTGACGAGTACGATTGTAGAGAATATTAAACTAGACCCAAGATATGGAATTCTTACTTGTCAATGAAGTGTGCCTGTAGATGGGGTTGACAACCAAACTGTAGTGCTAGTAAAACCATGAAGAAAAGTCCTTTCAACGTTATGCCATCTGATCGAGGTATCTTAGACGAGGACTCAGCATCGTATTCTGTCATATGCGAGAGAAAAAACCCGAAAAAAACTTAATCGTACAACATGAAAATAGTAACAGCCAAAACCGAAGAGTAAATAAACCTCAGGTTCCCACTCTCACGTTCTTCTCCACCACTATGTACCATTTACAATTCAGTTGCACAGACTCCCCGGCTTCCATCCGCTTCTACTCGTCCGAACGGGGACGTCCAGACGGTGTCACTAAATTTGATGTCCTAGATCACTAAAAGCAGCACAATCCTACCCGCCCTCTTGCACTCTTACGCTCACTTGTCAACTCCTTAACACATTGGCAAAAACACACATATAGTCGTACTTGAAAGGAAACCCTAGATGTGAGGGGACAACAGCATGAATCTCAGTCGGGTTTTGGGCGTTGGGCGGAGCGACTCACATTGCGCTTTGAAAGACTAAGTGTGACCCTTTAAGGGTCACCCTTACGACCGCCAGATGGTTGTAAATTGCGCGTGTCGCATGCGACTGAATCATTTGTGACAAGCGCAATTCTAGGAAGCCACATTGTCCGGAATTCAATAGACGCTACCAGACTCCGACCTATAGGCATCCAAAAATTCAGATTGCCGGGACAGCGAGAAAAATGGAGGACTCAACGCATGGTGGAGTAATAGAATACATGAATAATGCATCAGCATCATGCATGTGTGAATAGTGTATTAATACTGACGATTTATTCGCTTCCTAGTCATCTAAGTTGGGATATCTGAGTATTGATCCGCAGACCTTTGCATTCCTAGTCATATGATTAAACCACTCGGCCAAATGGATCATACAAATTCCTAAAAGTTTTGTTTATCTATTAGAAGGGGTTTAATCGTCCGAGACCTAGACGCGGGTGCTGAAAGCTTCAGGACCCGCGTCTAGGTCTCGGCTTCAGGCTGAAGCCGAGAGGAACAGATGTTCCGAGCCATTGGAAGGACCCCTTAGCCTAATTCTAGTACGAGTGCGAGACATATCGAGACTCCGTACGCACGGTTACCGTACTACGGTACAATGGTACACTATCTTACTATGTGGCCATTGCGGGTCAACGGGCGCTCAAATGGGTCGGATATGCAGATAACTCTATACTTACGTATGCTAACGATTGCTCAATCTCACCGGATCAGCGACGGATTACTATGGCAGTCGTTGGGGTCTCTAAAGGATATTGGACCGACGATTCATGTCATCATCCTCTGATCTTCCTGGATGTTCTCACTCCCAGCCTAACCAGATACTTGACAAACCTGAGCTGATAAAATGTTGCGACTCATCCATGCAGATCCATTGCTATCAGCTACCTGCATGAACATGCATTCTCGAACACTTACCGTCGCTCTAATATTCCTTCTACGAAGTTCGTAGTACGAACGATCCTTGTGCATTTCAGTAGTCTCACTCTCCCCGAGGAATGTACCGTGTGAGCGTGACATCATAATCCTTGCTGGCTCCACCATTGGTGAGATAGACTGGAGCAACGTAACTCTGGATCCTCCAGTGGGCCCGCTTCCCATTGAAGCTGATTTTGATTCGAGCGGGATCGTTATCAATCCTCCGGTTGCATCGACGACCACTCGAAAGTTTCCAGTGGAAACCAGTTAGACTGGACTGGGATGACCATCGATACCCAGTCAAACTGGCCGCCGTGGGGGGACGGTGATAGTCTCTGGCTCCGGGAGTCATGCCCCTCAGGGTCTCTTGACAAGGCATTGAATACCACAGTAGAAGCTGAAAGAGACGGTCTTCCACTCAGCGGCTTAATTGACCCTCTGTGCTGGGAATGAACCGAAATTTTTACAGCGTCATCATAACATCGTCATATCATGAGTCATAAAGAATCTCATCATCATGCAGAACCGCTCAAGTATCTCTAAGGCAATATTGATGTTGAGATGGGCTGATCTAACATTTTTGAAGCCTGTAAGTTGGGGGGGGGGGGGGGGTTCAGTTTCTTCCCGCCCTAACATTTCCCCCCCTAACAGTGATGTCGTTCCACAATCCCCTAAATTGTGCTCGCATTGAATGCGAGCACGTGTTTACATGTCGGACATAGTCATTACCGATGACTATGCTGATGGCTCGTGTGCATCAGCAATATGTACAACATTCTACATATCTCAGGCAAATGGCACTATTACACAGTGATCCACTCTTGGTCATCGAACAAGCGATGGCCATGCCTAACATCGACATCTTCGATGTTCCCGAAGAGTGTATGGGCCGAAAGTGCAAACGGAGAAAGATGTTAGTGTACTTC